ATTTAAATGATATATATACATATATATGAGGGATGTGTATGACTGGTATGGATAATGATATGAAAGAATACTACATTAAATAGGATATAATGTATTAAAATAAATAAAAATATAAATTACATGTATTCATATGACAGTTTTGAAAAGAATAAGGCTATTTAAAACACATTTTTGACTAAACTACTTACTTTGGCTGGAGTGATGAAATAGGATTCAACATTTCCATCTTAAATTTAGCAAATGTTTCAGCAAAACAACGAAAAGTGTTTATAAACAAGTTTACTCCTCGTTCTTGTCCCTTGTTTTCGGACGACTGCAAATGTCCGACCGAGTCCAATTTCGTGGCAGACCTGCGGAGACCATGACGACGAGCTCGGTACCCTGAAGACTGACTAACTTATACCATCCCCCAATGGTCGTCCTTTTGCAATTACCCATTAAGCAATCACGTACATTATTTAATTGGCTAATCCGACCTGTTCAAGGACTGCAAAAGATAAGTACTAAAAAGGTGCCTAGAAAAACGAAGGTCCACATGCATACATACATTCACACACACACACATACATTCATATATATAAATATATTTATTTATTACAAATAACCGCAAATATTACATCTATATTCCACGATTTGTATGTCTGAGTGGCGGCCAGCCTCTCTGGAATGGAAGCGAATTGGGAAAGGTCAAATTTGTCTTGTTGGCCAACCCATCTTGAAGACCTTCGAGGCTTCGGGTTCCAAGCTCGAGTCCCGCCGGGTCTATTCTCTGCTTTTGGGGATCTTTTTTTGGACGGAGACTATCTTGAACGAGACCCTGGCGAGGAGGAAAATGCAGCCTAGTCCAGCCAGAATGGAACGGTTCTGTGAAGCATCAGCAACTGATGTGACCCAATTTGACTGGAACTCTTTCCTAAAGGCTGGTTGATAGTCTAGAAACTCGCTTTCTCAGAATAAAAGCACATTTTCTCTCAACTTTGCCCCAACTGTGCCGAGTGTCCGTGGCCAAGGCAACCGTTTGACGATTTTTTCGGCCATATTTTGTCCTTTTCTGCAACCATCTACCCTCTGAAGGGCTTCTTGCTGCCTTGATTAATGACTACTTGCCGTTGAGGCGGCCAGTTTACACCTGATCGGTCGATCGGGGGTACCGCGAATATGACTCAATCGGTCAAATATGTTAATTTGCCTGTGCACAACTGGTTGCCTGGCCATCCGAACTCTCTGCTTCGTGTCGACTGTTGCCATACATGCTGCTCCAAATGTAGGCTCTTTCATGACAGACTGCTTTTGCATAACAGGATTACAGCATAAGCAGGTAAAGCAATCGTCATGGCAACCGGAGTAAGCTGGCCAGCCTGGCTTATGTTAAGTGGCCGAAGGTCGACGAGACGGTTTTAACAGTGCAACCGGATTGAGTGGTACAGCAAATGAAGAAGCTCAAGACTGAATTGGCTCCAAGCGAAGGTCAACCTGATGGCAAGGCAAAAGATGAAGATGCTGCTCATTATTGGGCTTGATGCGAGATACAGACACACCTTGTTGGTATGGCATGGCCAACTAAACGTATTAATTCCACTTCAACTTCCGTAGACATCCTTTTTCTGCTCTCGATTCAGTCGGTCGACTTATAATTTGAGTCTAGTCAAGTTAAACTCAGCGCTTCATAAATAAATAAACAATGATATAAATTAGTAAATGAGTTCAAATTGTAATTTTGTTAGTGTAATATTACTTCTTGTTTGTTGTCTTTGATAAATTGTAGTTGACGGAATTTCGGATTTCGATAAGACATGAATATCTTCTTCTAAGTGATAAGGCTCGCAGGATTTTAATTCCATTTTCGACGCCGTCTTTGTGCGAAGCTGGCTTTTCGGCGGTCGCTGCAATAAAAAGTAAGTATAGAGCAAAATATTCCATGATTTGCAGGCACATCCATCGCATTAATTATTAACTATTAATTTAATATTACTAAAGTAAAATAAAAATAATGAAGATACACGAGTTGTATTTATTTTTATCTCTTACTTATGAATAGTCATACTTACGGTAGGGCGCCATGGAAAAATTTTAATTGCAAAATGGCGCCGCGACTAGGAAAAGTTTGGGAACCACGGGCTTAAACCATTCTTCTCTGTCATCCCAACTAAGGAATGTGGTCCTTCAGAACTGACCGTCTGCTGAGCTTTAATTGGTTATAGGCTCCTGGTCTTGGCAAAAATCTGCGAATTCAAGAGCGGACCTTGACGACTGGCGTCGCCCAAATCTAAAACGAGTGCCCTAAAATCCTCGAAAAGGCCACATGGCTCTTTTTGTACATGGCCCTTATGCTCCAGTTCCTAAAAGGTTGGCCAATATTTGTAGAAAGTTGAGAGGAGGATAACATCGTAGGAGAGGAAAAGTTGCCCAAAACGATAGTTTAACCTTAACCCTTTTCTCATTATTGTGAAATAATAGACAATTGATTCGTTAAAATGATTTGTTCTGAAGCAACAATGTTCTTTACTTTTTCCTATTATCAGAAGATTTCACATCTATTTTTTTAATACCACGAGTATGGTCAACACGCAGCACTACTTCATTCAGCCTTTAGTCCACAAACTGGAGCAATGGGGCTAGAATAGCATGTTAATCTATCTTAATAGAAGAAAAATTGTGATTTTTCAAAGATTTATTTTCTTATAATGCCGCAGTCGCGAGTAGAAGAAGTCAATACAACTGGTAATTCAGAATAATTGTGCAAAAGCACTAGTTGCTAATGTATCTGATAAAACAAGGAACTGTATGAATTTTCCATTTTCCCAATTGCTCGTCATGTTATGCTCCGAACTAGACACTGGGATCCTACATAAAATGGTACGATCATGTCTTCTATCCGAGAGTTTTCCCACCCTCAGACGGTTCCTCCTCCGGAGCCTGCTTCATTTCTAAGGGATCCTCGTTTCTGCTGTTCATCTACACATTTGGGATCTATAAGAGCAAAATACACGCACACATACGCATATTGTGTGTAAGTGGATTCCGTAAAGTGCCTACGTTTGAGTCGCCATGCCTGAGGCTGCACTGAGCGTAGGTCGCTTGGCTCGATTGCACTCACCATTTTGGTACATTCTCACCGCGTGTCAGGCAGAAGTGAAGTGTCTGAACCAATCTGGTTTCCTTTCGGTCGCTATTTCGGCTCACGAGTCCATCCAACCGCCCCAACACCACCAGAAGTCATTCCACCTTCTCTTTTCTACTCTCGCATTTGCACGAGCCCTCTACTCTACTCCACTCCACCCGAATCAACTCGACTCAACTCTATTCCGCTCCACTCTACTTCCCTCCCATCCACTTTATTCCTCTCTCCTTCCCTTCCCTTCATTTCAATCTACTCCATTTCAGTTCAGGTCACTTCGCTTAACTTAATTTTACTTCAACCCACTCCACTTCCATTCATTTTATTTCAATCAACTTCACTTAACTTTACCTGACTAAATGAAACAAAACA